GACAAATTAAACCCCCTCTCCCTCATCCTTGCCTTGACCGATCTGAATTTTTAGTATGTTTTTACCTGGTATAAGATGGGACTTTTCTGAAATTTTCATGCCCATACAAATTTTTTTGCTCCCGCGGCAGCGTTGCCAAGTTGCGGACTCCAAAATATCGAATTTAATGATAAAATGAAGGTTTCGGAGTGTGATTTCCATTCAAAATCAAAAATTCAAATTGTAAGTCGTAGTAGGGTACTGCCTGATGGGGTTTTGGCCAATTTCGAAGTAGAGTGTTTGAGATTTTTGAAAAATAATCGAATTTTTGCGGTTTTTTAAGGGTAAAATAGCACACTGCGCACGGGGCGGCAAGTTGAACCTTTTCTCTCTCATCCTTGCCGTGACCGATCTGAACATTTAGTATGTATTAACCTGGTATAAGATGTGACTTTTCTGAAATTTTCATACCCATACAAAATTTTTTGCCCCCCGCGGCAGCGTTGCCAATTTGCGGACTCAAAAATATCGAATTTGATGATAAAATGAAGGTTTCGAGGTGTGATTTCCTCCAAAATTTCACGAAAAATGTGCAATCTGAGAGTTTTCGATAAGGAAAAGCATATTTGAACAATTTAGAGTTGCAGCGTTGCCAGCTGCACGATTTAAAATTCGTCAAAATGATCCGAATCGCGTTGCAACCTCAAGGTCTGGATTTTTATTTTGTTCAGAATTGGTCATTACGGTTCTTCTGTACTCTATGCATTTAGGTACCATGAAAATGATGCCATTACTCACTTGATGAGTGCAGCTAACTCAACAAGAGAGGCCGGATAAAGCGCAGATTCGGGGGAAAGCGAGCGGTTTGGGTTAACTGGTCCGCAACTTGGCAACGCTGCCGCGGGGGCAAAAAATTTTGTATGGGCATAAAAATTTCAGAAAAATCACATCTTATACCAGGTTAATACATACTAAAAGTTCAGATCGGTCATGGCAAGGATGAGAGAGAAGAGGTTTAATTTGCCGCCCCCTGCCCAGTGTGCTATTTTACCCTTATAAAACCACAAAAATGCGATTATTTTTCAAAAATCTCAAACACTCTATTTCGAAATTGACCAAAAACCCATCAGGCAGGACCCTACTACAACCTGCGATTTGAATTTTTGAAATTGAATGGAAATCTCACTTCGAAACCTTCATTTTATCATCAAATTCGACATTTTGGAGTCCGCAACTTGGCAACGCTGCCGCGGGGGCAAAGAATTGTGTATGGGCATGAAAATTTCAGAAAAGTCACATCTTATACCAGGTGAAAACATACCAAAAGTTCAGATCGGTCAGGGCAAGGATGAGAGAGAGGGGGTTTAATTTGTCGCCCCAAGGTCAATTTTGTTATTTTACCCCTAAAAAACCACAAAAATGCGATTATTTTTCGAGGAGCTCCGACAACCTATTTCGAAATTGCCCAAATACCCATCAGGGAGTACCCCACTACAACCTTTAACTTGAATTTTTGATGTACATTCAAGTCGCATTTAAAGTGAGTTCAAGCGCACCGTGTCCGGAGAACGAAAATTTGTTATGATGGCGTATTTCGTAAACTGTTTACGGATTTCTTCAACAGTTAACAAACGAAAATTTGCTTTCTCCCATTTTCCTCACGTTGAGACTGTTGAGAGATATCCGTCTTGTTTGACCTTGTGCTCCCCTCGACTCACGCGCGGAAGCGTCGGCCATGTTGCATATTGATGAGTTGCATCCTATTGAGTGGGAGTAGGATGGAACGACTCCTCTGACGAAATGTTCCCCTGTGCCGTAGTATCGTTTTTGAAGCGGCAAGCTCAAAGAAACGTAAATTCATGCATTTTGCGAAGTTAGGAATGCATTTCAGACTTCGCAGATGCGCTCATCGTGATTTTTGAGACAGTTTCTATATGATCTAATTCTTATTTTTCCTTCAGCAAAAGTTTACAACAGGCCCATTAAGCGAAGAATGATCTAAAATTTCTTTTCTTCCATCTGGAATTTTTGAAAGTTTTAAATTATTTGGCTTACCATTGCATAACCTAGAATTTCGCAAATGCAATCTCTTCGATTTTTTAATTACTTTCCCCGGTGTGAGGTAAAGATACATGTTTTCGAACGATATACTGTTATCAGTGATCGTCATAGGACTACAGGCCTAAAAAATTTAAATGGGCTCTGCAATGATTATCGCACAATTGATGGTCCAAAATCTACAAAAAATTGGTGAAAAAAGACAATTTGTTGCGTGTTTTTCAAGTTTATATCAGAGACAGACTCATCAATTTTCAATCTGTTTCCTCTACTTCAACCTTATAATATGTATAATACCGAATGATCAACATTTCAAAATACTCATTGATTAGGGATCCCAGTTTTTGATAAAAAATTAGTTTGGTTTTGAAAAAAAAATTGACACGATTTTAAAATTGGTGGCAGAAAATAAATTTTCCTTAAAATCGATTTCTAGAGATTGAAATGATGAAAAAAATGCGATCATGATGTCAGTTTCACGACTGCTTACAAAATTTGGACCAAAATCTGACAAATATCGTTTAATCTTAATTGTTTGTGGTTTCAAAAAATTAATTCTGATTTTAAATTGACACTCAGAATTTATGACATTTTTTCGGTTACTTGTGCCCAAAAATCACTGCCTTGAATTCATCCATTCGAAATCACCAACCCTCGCAAAGATCCATTGAGTACCTACATCGAAATGAAAATCAACCAGAAATGCTGAATAATTATGAAAAATGCGAATTTTCACAAGTTTACATCGGTATTGCAAATATAGTCACTGCAATTGCAGATTTTCTCTTCCACTTTAACCAGTAACATCTTGAAAAAATGCATTTCCTCAATTGCCCCAAACATCGTTTTCATCCGTTTGTCAAAAATTTATCAAACTAAATTCAATGACTATTTGTTTTTTCTCATTATTTCTTAATAGGTAAATAATAATAGTCGCCTTGTGTTCCAAGCCAAAACTCGTTTGAACAAGCGGACATCAGTGCAACGTCAAATGGAAGTAGTTGCTGACCTCATACAATTGCTTCTACCTGGTTGCAGTCACGTAAGAAAGATCCTTCAAGCCAGAGTGCCTATAGTCAAATTTAATCAAGATTTAACATTTATCGAATGTGATCTATCCACAGATAACACGTAAGTAAATCAGTATGCGTTATTGTTGATTTCATTTTAGTAGTGGGACCAGTTTCAGAGTTTTTTATCTTTATTTCTGTGTATCAGGACAGTTCTAATCATCAAGTCTGAGACAACGAATAGTCTGTGTTCACTGAGTCAATCCAAGAAGTTCCCAAGAAAGTCACATACCATTAGTCAGCAGTCTAAGTCATTCCATTGTCCGATTATCTTGAAAACCAGATATGCTAGAATCGGTAAAAAAACTAACGAAACTCAAGAAAACGAGAGTGTATTCATAAGAATAGAAACTAAGGAACAAAAACTTGAACCTGTTGGGCTGATTGTTTTATTTGTGTTGGTGTCAGAACATAACGGAATCAATGGCTTTTCTAGCTCAGAGACAAGGAATTTATCGCAAGAGAATCATTTGAGTCTGTTGCGCAGCCTCTCATAACACAGCCAGACCTGAAGTCCACATGCTTCTTTTAAGGTCAGCAGCAAATTAGGCTTAACGTAGAATGCATTTTCTCGAGAAATCTTACAATAATATTCGATTTGTAAAGATCTTAAACCCTAACCAATGCCAGAAATTGACTCCTAACAGAAGTCAATACATGTGAGAATTTTTTTTTAGGCCCCCAGCTACTTTATCTAGAAGATCTGCAAAGTGTAATCATTTTAACTATTTATGCTAGATATTCCAGAGAAATTAATCAGTGATGAGTCTAAGTATGTAGACCAAAGACATTGAATAGAGTAGACTGTGCGCTGTGAAATGGAGCGGTGGCCACTTCTCTTCCATTCACATGTCGCACCGACCGATGAGTGCGGGAACACCGAAACGGCACCGGTGAGGTAGTGAGCCCCAGCCGTCCCCAGCTCGCGGTAAACGAACAGTGCGCTTGTACGAGGTTGGTATGGTATGGCTCCGAAATCTTTAATTATTAATTGATTAGTGCGAATATTTTCGGCTGATGTGTTCTTTAATAATTATAATCAAATGTTTCTGTGTGAAGATGTGTTTTGGTTTTCATGATTAAACACCACACAACTCTCAATTTATGGTATGCTTACATGAGCAAATTCTTGATGAACCGGGCAAGAGACAAGAATGATTATGTCCCGATGATAATTTTTGAACTTCGACTACATTTAGCCTTAAGGAACTACTATTTTTGGTTCATTTGTTTTATTACCTACCTACACAGGAAACTAATACACGACACAACAGCGGATCATGAACTAATGGCACATTTTGTTCTTCCTAAAATGAACCAGAAATAGCAGTTCTTCATTGAAAACTGTAGTCAACTTAGTGTCTTCAATTTCAAAATAGGGTTGTTCCAGTTAGTGATATTCATTTGTGATAAATGTAATATTAAGTAAATGCCCTCAGCATTTTGCTGAAAACATAGCATAAGTGCTGTGTTTTTTTAATTTTATAGAGGAAGGTAAGGACATGATAAAAACTTATTTCATAGAATCCACTGCACTGCAATGTGCAGAAAAATTGAGGCATTGGGAGCAAGAATGGCACTTCTTGGTTGCGGTGGTTCAAAATCTCTAGTAATATTTCATCAGTGAAGGAATTCATGGATTTTGTTGAAATTTCTACTGAGTTATTTTTCATGATTCAGCAATTTTCTGTGAAAAAAATCCTTGGAATTCACCATTAGAACCTACTCTACTAAACAAATGTGAGCGACATTAGATTCTGGAACATCGTTAATAAGAGGTGCGTGTCCTTCTCGAGGGCAGCAACTTAATCACAGAGCCGCCTAAAAATGCAAAGGAATTAAGAGCAATTACTTACCCATACTTTTTGAAAATAAACAGTATCCACGATCGCCAGTCATAAACAAGTGAATGAAGTATTGATTTTGAAATTTTTGAGCAGATTAAATAACATTAAGTTGCGACTCGCAAATTAGTTTGATAATAATTCTTGAACATTATCTTTTTCAGTGGAATAATCTTAAATCTAGGTACTTTGAAACTGCCTAAATCGTTGCCCCTCTTTTTCAGTTTTTCATCAAATCTTTCTCTTAGATCAAGATGGACAATAGCTTTAAGTAACTCTCTTGTAACTTTTATATGCCTTATTATGTACAATACATAACACTATTCCTCGTTTTTACCCTTGATTTACCTATATGATTGACCTCATTTTAAATCCTTTTTGTACCTTTTACAAAATTACTTCTTATCCACGCTGTCATCTTTACAAGCTGCACGCACTATAAGAACATCCGTCTATTTTCGATTATGAAGCGTTTTTTCCGGTCAGTAATGACTGTAGAGAAACGAAAATTGTTCAGAGTGATAGTAAATTTCATGCTAGTAACATGTGGTCCTTGTAAATTTTGCCGAAAAATGAAGTGGAAACGATTAATTCGCAAAAATCCGAGCGCGCAACTTATTTTTTCAAGTACGCGCAACGCCGGCTCATGCTGCGTGGGGCTCAGTCGCGAGCTCCCACCCCGCCCGCCCATTACGGAGTCCCGCCGAAGTGGCCTCGCTCAGCTGACACGGCGGAGATAGGGAGTGCACGGTCCACTCTATTCAATGTCTCTGATGTAGACTCTGATGGAAAATTCACCGGACGATGACACTGGTGTTTTGAAGACAGTTACAAAAAAAAAACAAATGTTTGGAAGTGCGTAACAGACAAGTATTGAAGTCTGAAGTTTATCATACGTACCGCTAAATGTAGATTTGAAAAATTAGATTGAATGAATAAATGTAGCTGTGCTATTTCAGCTGGACCCGGGGAATCTGACAGGAAAGGTCTTGTGCCTGCGGAAAGGGAGTTGGGCGCTGCTGACAATCAGTGGTAAAGCCTCGAAATTGACCAAAATTGTCCCAGAAAAATTTTAGTATTCTCACTGAATAAGGGGGGAGGGGACAATCCCTATTTGCCTAATTTGTGAGAATTTTCACCCTCTGAAACACAATCTTTATCAATTTCAATGATGATCAGCTCCAATGAAGAGTACAAGCGGGATCTTTATTCCTGCGAAAAATAGTTTTCCGTAACCCGCCATACACTTTAGTGCACCGCTATAGTGGCCACAGAATAATAGCTCTCGCGCCGACTCTACATTCAAGACTTATCAGCGATTGGGAATCCCACGTTTATTTTGTTGCACTTTTCCTCTTCCTCCTACTTTCATCGTTGTCTTCACGGTCGGGCCAGTCGGTGATAGCAGTATGCCTTCAAGGCTTCCCTCTAGTTCCATATCTGTTTCCAATTCTTCACCACACCGCAATCGGTGGCGAGGCGTGATTAATCGATTTTCGATATTTCTCCATTTGAAGCCATGGTAAAGAATCGATTGTTAAGGTGTAAACACCCTGTGTATCGATCCTTTTCCATGGTTTATATGGGAGATCATCGATACATCACAAAGCACGCCACGCCACTGATCGTAATAGTGTTGAGAGGTGCGTGAGCCACAACGTGGACAGATTGAATGAGAAATGGATCCATTGATAATAAAAGTTAGGTTCATGCTTAAGCGCCTGCAGAAGGTCATCTATAGTCAAGGCCAAGCTATCAAATATTAATAGCATATAACTGGATTTTTTTTTTTAGCTATAACTCAAAATTTTCGCTCCTATTTTATTTTTTAAATAAATATTACAATGAAGGATGGATCCCATTAAAGTCTGATTTGAAGTAACTTTAGCTGCTGAATCCAAAAATGACCTTGATTTTAGATATTATGCACCGTTTTCCCAAAAAAATTGAATCAAAATTGAATCTCCCCACGAAAAAGTCCATTTTTATTTTTGAGAAACCTAATTTTGTGGGAAGATAATGGGTCAACGCAAAAAAGCTAGTCAGAAAAAGAAGCTAGTCAACTATCTAGTCTACCATAAAGTCTGCCGTGTTCAGATTTTTTTCATTTTTGGAGACCTTGTTTTTTCTATGATCAGTGACTTTTAAGTGCCTACTATTCCTAAAATATGTAACTTACTGAGCTAATATGGGCGCTTCTTAATGCTTTTAGTGTCTAAACTACAAGAATACTATATGGTAGAACGGTCAAATCTTTCCACCACTCCCCTCCCCCAAGGGTGGGACTTACTTGTTTAAATCAAATCAAATGTTACACGGTCTTAAATGGTTCCATGTGCTAAAAAAAACACGATAAAGCCAAAAAGATTTTGAAATAAAATTTAATGCGGCCCGCACAACACCTTAAGATCGTTATTTTTCCGATATTTTTGGCATTTTAATTGTCTTTTATTGATAGTTTAGTTAGTGACAAAGATTTGACGCTAAATGTTAACCCCTTAAATGGAGATGGATTAGGTAATGGAGATGTTGCATGTGAGAGGAATTTGCGATTTGACTATTGATTCTTATGTCAAAGTTCGCGAGAAACACGATGGTCCCACTGATTTTCTCTGAAATCAACTCCCAAGCTCCAAAAACGCTCTCAAAGTTGAGGCTGTAATGATCCTGAGAGTCCACGTCTACGTAAAGACCAACTCTCCATGCAAAGATAAGGAGCAAATACATTAGCAGGGTAACTGAAAGCAGCACAACCCTTAGGGTTGCCGTGCTTTCAGTTTTAGAGTCCCCAAGTAAAGTGGCAGCTCTGTCAATGTATTTGCTCCCTATCTTTGTATGGAGAGTTTGTCTTTACGTAGAGGTGAACTCTCAGGATAGCGTGGGATATCCCCTTCATTACGCCCTCAACTTTAAGAGCGTTTTTTGAGCTTGGGAGTTAATTTCAGGGAAAACCAGTGGCACTATCGTGTTTTTCGCAAACTTTTACGTAAGAATCGATAGTCAAATCGCAAATTTCTCACACATGCAACATCTCCATTAATAATTAATCCTTACGTGGAATACCGATATTCAGTCATCCTTGAAAAAATTATTAGATATGTTACTGAAACTTCCAACATAGCAATCTGAGGTATATGATTCCGTAGTATTACCAAAGATACCTTTTCTTGACCAGATCATCCTAAAGTACTTTTTTTAACTTGTATTGATAAACATA